AAAACAGAAAAACAGGTCAAACATCAATTCTATTTCCAGTGAAATTAGCCTTTTAAAGATGAAGTTGAAATAAAGATATTTGTGGATGACAAAAACTGAGAGAATTTGTTGCTAGCAGACCTGTCTTCCAAAAAATACCAAAGGAAATTATGCTGGACAATAATTTGGATATGCAGGAAAGAAAGAAGAGCACAGGAAATAGTAAATATGTGGCCAAATATAAAAGGCTATATAATTTTCTCTCTTTTCTAATTTCTCTAAAAAACATAAGATTGGTTAAAGCAACAAATATATTACTACATTATTTAGTTTATAACATATATAGGCATAATAAATATGATAATAATAACATAAATAGAGAAGGAGAAAATGGAGTTCTACTGGTGAAACATGGCCATATTAGACCAGAATTAATTCAGTATTAACCTGAAGAGGACTGTGATATGTTAAAGACACATGTACACACATGCACATGTATGTACACACACACACACACACACACACACACACACACACACTAAACTTCAAAAACTTGCTTAAAAAGGCAACAAAAAAGAAATTTAGATGGTACACTAAAAAATATTTGTATAACCAAAGAAATGCAGTATTGGAAGCAAAAGAACAAAAAAGCATATAGAAAACAAATTCTAAAATGGCATACATAGCTCTAAATATATTAATAATTATATTAAATTTTACTGGATTAAAAACTCCAATCAATAGGCAGAAATAGTCAGATGAAGGGCCGGCCTGTGGCTCACTTGGGAGAGTGTGGTGCTGACAACACCAAGGCCACGGGTTCGGATCCCTATATAGGGCCGGCTGACGAGCTCACTTGGGAGAGCGTGGTGCTGACAACACCAAATCAAGGGTTAAGATCCCTTTACTGGTCATCTTCGAAAAAAAAATAGATGAAAATAAAAGTATATTCTGTGTACAGGAGAAACACTTTATAGTTTAAATGCAATTGATTAAAAATAAGAGAATGGAAAAAGTTATACAAAGCAAACAGTAACCATAAGAGATCTGGAGAGGCTATATTAAGATACACTTAATTACAAAAAATATCACTAGAGACTAAAGGGAATATTTCATAATAATAAACGGGTTAATTCATCAAAAAGATACAGCAGTTATGAATATACTCACACCTAGCCAGAGAGCCCCAAAATATGTGAAGCAAATACTGACAGAATCAAAAGGAGAGACTATTTAGTAATATTTGTTTATTTCAATATTCCTTTCTTACTAATTGATAACATGACTAGACAGTAAATAAAAAAGGCTATAGAATAGTTAAGCAACACTATCAACCAGATAGAATATTCCACCCAACACCAGTAAAATATACATTCTTTTGAAGTATATATGAAACATTCTTCAGAATGGATGATATGCAAGGTCACAAAACTAGTTATAGTTCTGTGACCAGAATGGAATTAAACTGGAAATCAGCAGAAGAAAATCTAGCTAATCCCCATATGGTTAGAAATTAAACAACATGCTTCTAAATAACTGATGGGTCAAAGAAGAAACAATAAGGGAAATTAGAAAATATCTTCTACTGAATGAATATAAAATCACAGTATATCAAAATTATGTAAAGTAGTAGGTAGAGGGAAATTTACAGCTTTTAAAAAATTAGAAAGGAAGAAAGATTTTAAATAAATAAGTTAATTAATTAACTAAGCTTTTACCCTAAGAAACTAGAAAAAGAAGAGCCAAAGTAAGAATGAAGGAAACAATAAAGATCACAGGAGAAATCAGTATAAAGAAAACAGTAAAACAATAGAGAAAAATCAGTGAAACTTATACTTGATTGTTTAAAAAGATCTATAAAATTGATAAAGTTTTAGCAAAATGACCAAGAAAAAGAGAGAGAAGATACAAATAAACAAAATTAGGAATGAAAGAGGAAACATTCTGAACCTTACAGAAATTAAAAGGATTATAAAGGAATATCATGAACAACCTTATGCCAATAATTTGACAATGTAGATGAAATGGGCAAATTCATAGACAGAAATGATCAAAGTTGACCCAAGAAGAAATATAAAATCAGAATTGAATTATGTCAAGGAGAGACACTAAATCATTTAATTGTTATTAAAAATCTTCCTACAAAGGAAAGTCCAGGCGTAGCTGGCTTTAGGGGTGAGTTCTATCAATATTTAAGGAATTAATAATACAAAACCAATACAAACCTTTTCAAAAATGGAAAAGAAGGGAACACTTTCCAGCTCATTTTACCCTGATACCAAAGTAACAGACAAAGATATCACAAGAAAACTACACACCAATAACATTCATGAATAAAAACCTAAAATTCTTAAAATAACAAATTGCATCTAGTAATGTATAAAAAAAGAATGTATACACTATGAACCAAGTGGAGTTTATTCCAGGAATGCAGTTTAGCTCAACATCTGAAAGCTATGATAATCAAGACTGTGGTATTGGCATAAAGATAGGAATATAGATCAAAGGAACTGAATAAAGTGTTCATACATAAATACATGCATATATTGTCAATTAATTTTTCACAATTCAAATCAAAATATGAACTAAAATCTTGCACAAAGTCAACACTAATTTATTTGTCTGCTTCTTTTATCAGTCTTTGCTTATGCACATACCTGGCTCTTTCATTTAAACCTAGTTCAGTGGTTCTCAAAGTGTGGTAACAGGACTGATCCTTTCAGAGAGTGTGTTAGCTCAAAATTATTCTTATAATAATTTTAAGACAATGTTTGCTCTTTTCACTTCATTCTCTCATGAGTGTACGGTGAGGTTTTCCAGAGCCTACATGATATGTGAATAACAAAAGATTGAGTGCAGAAGCAAATATGAGAATATAGCTGTTTTTAAAAAAATTAAGCCAGACATTACATTCACAATGCTGCTCTTCTCATTTTGGGAAAAACATAGATACATGATATGTGAATAACAAAAGATTGAGTGCAGAAGCAAATATGAGAATATAGCTGTTTTTTAAAAAAATTAAGCCAGACATTACATTCACAATGCTGCTCTTCTCATTTTGGGAAAAACATAGATTTTTTTTTTCATGAAAATGTGTTATGTTAATATGTAATGGGTTATTACTGATATTTTAAATGAGTTGATAGCTAAATATTTTTAAACTTGTTTTTATTTATGATTTAATAAATATTGATAGATAAAACCCACATAAACAAATGCTCTTTGGGATGTTCAATAGTTTTTATGGTTGTAAAGGATTCCTGAGATAAAAAAGTTTGAGAACCATTACCCTTGACTACCTGCCAGGTGTAAGTACTCTGTACATCACATCTGACAACAGAGTATGAGAAAGAGAATTCGAGTTGGTCTTCTTTGAGAGATGACTTGTCTTGGTTGCACAAATCATCTACTTCAAGGTCAGTATATTGTTCTTAGACAGGATGTCATTTAGAAATGCAGCAAATGTTAATACAACATTTCTTTTTGTTTTTCTTGGCGATGTTTAATGGAAATAAACACAATCCTAGTAAAAGGAGAGGCATAAACATGAAAAGGACTTGGAACAGTGCCTAGCATAAGAGTAAGCCCTTAATATTGGTAGTAATTATTACTATTTCATTACTAGACTGTGGCAGTCCTTATTTATTCATTCAACACGTGGTTATTGAGTGCTTACTTTATGCCAGTCAGAATGGTCAGTATTGAGGATTCTGTGATGAGCAAAACACAAACAGTTCTGCCCTCAAGGAATTTATAGGCAAGTGGGAGAGGCAGGAGAATAATCACAAAAAGAAACATATAATTACAAATTGTGGTAAGCACTTTAAATGAAGCGATGGACGTATGAGAAGATAAAGGAAATTTGACCTGATTTTCAGATTCAGAGAAGGCATCTCTGAAGAAGTGCCAGTTAAGCTGCAATTTGAAAAATGAGCAGGAGGAGTTGAGGATACAGAAAGGAAAGAATAGCATTCTCAACAGGTTCAAAAGCCCATGGCGGGAAGAGACTACGGGGGCGAGTGCAGCTGAAGCCTGCAGAGCCAGGGGAAGGGTGGTGAGTAGCGGTAGGTAGAGCCCAAGTCATTCGGGGATTTACAAGCTTTGCCACGGATTTTAGACCCTTATCACGTGGTCAGTGGAAAGTCATGGAAGGATTAGAAAAACGAGATGTGACAGGACCAGATTTGTATTTTTGAAAGATCACTGGCCAGCTGGAGTGTAGTGGGACGAGGTTGAAAAGCAGGGAGACGATTTACAGAGCTACAGCAGTGCCCAGGTGAAAGATAATGGAAGCTTGCAACAGGGTATTGGCGACTTCGGAGATTCCAAGAAGTGGATGAATTTGGCATGTACTTTGGCAGTAGGGCCGACAGGTCCTGGCGATTAATTGAAAGTCTGAGTAACACAGTAAATCACACAAAGTTGACTACCCTTCCCAGCAAGATCAACTAATGGGGTTGAGATGGAGCAAAATTTCCCCCATTCCCCTTTGGCAAAGACCAAATGTCCCGGAGGCCCCGCTGAGGCTCAAGGCCAGGCAAAGTGCATGCACAAGGCCAGGTTCTTCAGCCCACATAAGAGGCTCACGACTTTATCCCCTGGAGGTCCGTGGCATGGAACCACACAGTTTCCTAGGCAACACCATTGTCCCATGCTCCTCGTGGGGAAAGGGTAACTAAGGACTACAACCCGGAAGAGAACTCCTGAAGAGAGTGAGAGTCAGAGGGGGCAAATGGGCAACACGTGCAGTTGCCCCGGCCATCGCGGGTGATTCGACACGAGGCCAGAGCAGAGGGCGGGAGGGGCTGGAGAATCGCCTATGATTGGCGGCTGGGGATACCGGGATGCCTGTGATTGGGCGAGGCTGAGACGAAGGACTGCGTTTTGAACCGCGTAGGGTCCTGGGTAGCAAAGGCCTTGGTAAGGTCTTAACCGAAAGGGGGAGAGGGAAGGTCGCCAACAAACGGCTGAGCTCACAATCCGGGCCGCGACCCGGTCGGGGCATCCCCTCCCCCCGTATGGAGAGAGCCAGGCCGGTGCCGCTGCCTCAGCCGTGCCAACTGCCGCGGACGACCGCGCCTCGTCCGTTGCGCCCCGCTCCGCCCCCACTGCGGGTCGAGGGCACCCCTTTCCGGGCAGTGGTGGCCGAGTCCCCTCAGTTGCCACCTGCCCCGTGCGCGGCCGCCATTGTGACCGTGGCTTCACCGTGCGGGGAGGCCCCGTCGTCGGGCGTACAGCCTGCGGCAGGACAGCTGCTGCAAGTGAAACCCGAGCAGGTGTTGTTGCTGCCGCCAGGACCACCACTGCCTCAGGCCCCCGACGGCGACGCTGCCAACTCGCCCGCGCAGGCGCGGCTGCTGCAACTGAGGCCCGAGCTGCTGCTGCTGCCG